CTCATGACTTAAATCTCCTGATTTACATTCGGGGTCAGTTCTGTTATGGTTGAATGCTTGCTTTCACGCACTCTCACTAGCTCGATTTTAAAGGAGGAACCTGAGTCTCAGGAAGACCCAGGGATGGGCCAAAGGCCGTGCAGCAACTGGCTGGGCCTAAGATTCGAATCCACATCTGCCAGATCCCTAAACCCTGAAGCTTTCCACTTTGTCACTCTTCCTCCCGGGGAGGGCGGAGGCGGGAGAACGGCGCAGTCACCAAACTTTAGAGTGAGAACATGAAACAATATGGAGCAAGAGTGATTCTTATCTCACTCCTTGTGGGTGGTAATCATGGATCTCATTATTGCAGAAGCAGCACAGGCAAACTCCTCAGTTAATAAAAGAAGGGTTTTCAAATAGTGGCAAACTTAAGGGCTCTAATTTATAGCATAAGTAGACTATCAAACATCACTAAAATCCAGATATCCAGAACAGCAAAAGGACTGAGACCCCCTGAAAAACAAAACACGTGCCTCAAAAGAGCAAGCAGAGAACCTATGGCCTGGGGACAAATTCTTGGCAATGACCTATCTGATGACATTTACAGAAAACATCAACACCCCAACAACACAAAGACAATCCAACTGTTGACGTGGGCAGAGGACATGAACAAATACTCCGCCACAGAAGGAACCCGGGGCCGCACACACAGACAGAAATGTTCAGGGTCATTAGCTAGTATCTAGCCCACACCCGGACATCGGGCAGAGTGACCTGACCCATGACCGAGTCCAACTGCTCCTCAGGACCTGTGGACTGGAAACCTTCACAGGAGCAGACAGCCTCGCCTTTTCTCCTGCAGAGCAGCTGCTGGGTTTGAACCACGAACTTGTGATTAGCAACCCAATGCTTATTAGCCCGCAACATCACCAGGCCACCGTAGCGAGACGCAGACGGCCCAGCAAGGTATCATCTCACCCCAACAATAAGAGCAAAGGTCCAAAGAAAGCAGAAAATACAAACGCTGGCAAGTGTTGGAGAAACCGGAACTCCTGCCGGCGCCAATGGTGCAGCCCATGGAAACTGTCTGGTGCTTCCTTAAAAAGAAAAATTACCATGTGATCCAGCAATCTCATTACTAGGAATATGTCTTAGAAAATTAAGAACCAAGACATAGATAGATGTATACCCATGCTCACAACAGCAAAAAGATAAAACAAGCGAGGGTGGAGTGTGAGGCTAAGTTGACTAGAGAAACAAATCTCGTGACAGTCACATATTTATAAGAAAGACCTTCCTAGCAAGAAGTCATATAGCAAGAAAGCGTCCCAGCCAGTGCAACTCAGATCCATCAGTCCGATAATCGTCCACAAGTCCCTCGTCAGACTCACGCAGCCACGTGCAATGATGCAGCATGCAGGAAGATCACGGGCCAGTGGGTGCAGGGTCATGCGGACCTGCGGTGGTGGGAACAGGGCAGAGCTCCAGCAGCTCTCGGGGTCAGTGGCCAAGAGAAAGGGAGGTTCTCAGGGTTCTCCAAGGAGGCACCACCGGCTGTGACCTGACTGACAGGTTGGACATCACCTCATACACTTTACACATCTTCAAGGTGACATGAAATTA